TTTATCACTCTATTCTATGAATTGTATGGGAGTTATGAGTATGGGTCTCCAAGTTTGTTTTGTGGAGGATCTTGTTAAAATTATCTTTATCTAAATAAAATTAAGAAAATATTTTGTTTGTTTCCGGTAAAATTTGCCATTATACATCAATATAGGTTATTTCTTTTCTAAAACTTTTTCCTAAAAAATAATTCCAACTGAAAATTGCTTATTCTAATAGAATTAATGCAATCATAAAATTCATCATTATGGCATCAATATTGAGATAAATTGTAGTGCGCCACATACAAAATTGTCATATATAATATTATATTACTAATATTAAAAGTAACTTATGCAAAAAAAATATATATACTTTCTTGTCACAAAGAATAAATTATAATTATTACTTGACAAATTATAAAATCAAATATAAAATTCTTTTAGCATGTGGACAAAAATAGATCATAAAAATCAAAACTAAACGTATTATCTGGAAGTTGAAACAAATTATTTGATCGAATGAATAGACGTAGTCAAGTTAGAGGCTCGTCTTCTGACATGTCACATAAACAACCCTCAAATTCCATCACTCCATGTCAGCAGCTAATCCGACGATCGGGATTAGTGTACAAAAAGTTTTACCGTTAGAATACACACTTATAAGTTGTCCCACATTGTCTATACAGAGAAAATAGGCCTAACTTATAAGCCTAGTGAGTTACTTCTCCTACCACCAATTGGTTTTAGGATGAAACCTCACTTGGGCTTCCCTGATTTGGTGCGCTTCGTCCGTGAGACCGCACACGGACCGCACCCGTCAACCCCGTTTGTCATGGTATTAGAGTCGGTTCACCCAGCATAGTTGGACTTAGGCTTCCGAAAGACTCACAAGTGAAGGGATGTTAGAATACATACTTGCGAGTTGTCCCACATTGTCTATACAAGAAAAATAAGCATAACTTATAAGCCTAGTTGTCTACTCCTCCTACCACCAATTGGTTTTTGCATGAAATCTCAATTAGGCTTCATTTGGGCTTCCTTGATTTGGTGCGCTTCGTCCTTGGGACCGCACTCGTGAACCCCGTTTGTCATTTACCAAACTTGCGACTTAGAGGAGTATTGTTGCTTATGAGATACAAAATTAAGGTCCCAATTTCGAATAATAATGGTCATTTTAGAAGACGAAAATTGAAAATTTACCATACATCATTCCTTCCAAATTCACGAGTATGTAGGTAAAGAATACAAAAGGTTCTTGAAAAATACAACTCTTTACATATAGTTATTAACTAATTTTAGGTTATTTTTCACTTGAAGCAAATTGATTGTTATCACCATATAACACACATATAAATGTATACATATCTGTATATGTGATTGTCTAGAGACCTTTTCCACCGGGAAGATCGATCCATTCAATCTGGATATCTACTTCCCCACACTCGACATCTTTTAGTCTGAGGATCATGTCTTGTGTCATCTTCCCATTGTTCCAAACTATACAGCTCTCGTCGGCTAAGCAGTTGTCTCGGTTGGGCTGAACCCTGTCAACTTTAGTCCCATTTGGGAGACTCTGCAACCCCATCTTCAGGCAATCTATTAAAGGTTTTATGTCGATATTCGCTTTCCCCATGCTGTCGTCTACCGTGAATGTGTCTTTGTCGTACACCGACTTATATATATTAACAAACAATACCAACATATATAACTCTTGATTAGTATATCGAGTGTCAGACAAAAAATATGTTAACTAGACCAAGGTAATCGAAACATTTGGATCAACACATAACTACATACTAGAAAACAGCTAAACAGCCGAAACAAACGGCCAGCCAGCCAATAGAGGCTGGCCAATAGAGTTGCCGATGCGGAAAGATCAACACATTCGAGACTTACAAAGGTAATCGGAACGTTTAGATCCTTAATGTAAATGGTGAGCTCCTCATTCCAAACAGGGTTGCAGTTGCCTCTCACGACCCTTGTTTTCACTTTCTGCGCACCACAGACAGACCGAAGATCGTATAAGTAACAAGAGTCATTACTAAGCCGAGTTTCGAGTCGAAATTTGATTCAAACCCACACGATGTGTAACATTGATGGAAAAAGAAATATGATGATCTTTCTCTTGATTTCTGGAGCAAGATCGCTCAATCAGAATTCATAGCTGAAGAAAGAAGATTCATATTAATCATAGATATGAAGCGGAACAATCAGTCCCAAACAGAGACTAATATTACCACAAAAATCAAACAAATCATATTAATAATATTAAAAAAAAAAAAAAAAAAAAAAA